TTAAAACTAATCCTGATACACTACATACACTGAAATTTAATGCTAGCATCCCGAATACCGTGATTATAACTTATATTACTACTACCTTAATATTTCCATAAATCATAATACCTAATTAAATTTATTAAAAATTCAAAAACATACCTATGTTAAGTCCTTCGACTCCTTCCGGAACACTTCGGGAAAAATCAAAAACCGCGCGTGCGTATACGTTTCGTGTCATACCGGCATTAGTCACCTGGCGCTTTCGTTTACTAAGTACGGTTACTTAGAAAGCCCGGTGGTTCTTGGAATTTATCTCGTCGGGTAGTAAATTTTCCTGGCTTTCCGAATATCTATGTTAAGTCCTTCGACTCTTTCCGGAACACTGCCGGAAAAATCAAAAACCGCGCGCGCGTATACGTTTCGCGTCATACCGGCATTAGTCACCTGGCGCTTTCGTTTACTAAGTACGGTTACTTAGAAAGCCCGGTGGTTCTTGGAATTTATCTCGGCAGGTAGTAAATTTTCCTGGCTTTCCGAATATTTATGTTAAGTCCTTCGACTCCTTCCGGAACACTTCGGGAAAAATCAAAAACCCCGCGCGCCTTTACGTTACGCGTCATACCGGCATTAGTCCCCTGACGCGCATAAACGTTTCGTGTCATACCGTGTAACGAGACAGAATTATGTCAATTGCGAAACAACGCGCGCGCTCTAGGAGTGCGTACATGCGCTACGTACTGAATGCACGTGGTAGCACGGCTAACTGATTATGACTTTAAAATACTATAGAACCATACTGAAGTTAACTGGAGCTTCTTAACTGTTAAAAGAAATCGCCTATACTACCAGCGAAGCTTATTAAGTCTTCAATGGTAAACTTCATAATAATACGTTGTCATCAATACGTAATGATAAACTACCTAGAGTGCGTGCGGGTGCACTCACTCTTCGGTAAGGATAATCATCTTGAACATATATAATTCCGAAACTTCCAATATAATAAAAAACTATACTAACAGATTCGTCACCACTCATGCTGCAAAAAACTTGCAGCCGCCCACCTTCGAGAAGGTACCTAAACAAATGAAAATCGCCGTGGTATACACACACGGGAACGATGTACTACCTACTACCTCAATGCGTGAAACCACAGATATACCAGTCAAAAACACCAGTGGAGCATCGCATCTCGTCTCGCATCGCAGAGTTCATTTAGTCGAAAGGCCACTTGTTCTATTTCCCGTTCGTTGTTCGTGTCACCCTCCTCTAGTTTACTGTGTGCAGTAATACGTACTCCGTATTGACAAGCTGCACACACCTAAGCCAGATGAGTGGCCCGTAGCTGTAGTAGATTTGTGGTATCTAGTAATACGTGTACCGTATTGACAGGCTAGATACCACATCTCTCGGGAGTCGCTACCCCAACCGCCGCTACTATTACTGCCGCCGTTACTGTTATAACCGCCGCCATTACTGTTAGAACCGCCGCCATTACTGTTAGAACCGCCGCCGTTACTGTGAGAACCGCCGCCGTTACTGTTAGAACCGCCGCCGTTACTGTGAGAACCGCCGCCGTTACTGTTATTACTGCCGCCGTTACTGTTATAGCCGCCGCTACTATTACTGCCGCCGTTACTGTTAGAACCGCCGCCGTTACTGTTATTACTGCCACCGCTATTATTATCGACGCAGCCGACCCAATTAAGCCCTATCCCGTGTACCAGCATCAGAGAAATACGCTTACGGTGACAGAATCAGACTACTTGGAGAACGATTATCATCTACGTGAGTCTTTATATTATCCACCAAATAAATAAACCTAACTGTAGCTCGAAGAGCGTCTATGAATACAAAAGAATATACTGTAACATTTATTATTTAATAAAACATAAAATCTAATCTGAATAACAATAAATATCTGTAGCTCGAAGAGCATTGATGTTTAAAAGAAAATATTGTACAATCACTGATTTATTAATTGAAATTTATTTACGTGAGAATAAAAACACATAATTATATACAAGTCAAATCAATTGTGTTTTGCATTCTTACAACCGGCATTAGTCACCTGGCGCTTTCGTTTACTAAGTACGGTTACTTAGAAAGCCCGGTGGTTCTTGGAAATAATGTCGTCGGGTAGTAAATTTTCCTGGCTTTCCGAATATCTATGTTGAGTCCTTCGACTCCTTCTGGAACACTGCCGGAAAAATCAAAAACCGCGCGCGCGTATACGTTTCGCGTCATACCGGCATTAGTCACCTGGCGCTTTCGTTTACTAAGTACGGTTACTTAGAAAGCCCGGTGGTTCTTGGAATTTATCTCGTCGGGTAGTAAATTTTCCTGGCTTTCCGAATATCTATGTTAAGTCCTTCGACTCCTTCCGGAACACTGCCGGAAAAATCAAAAACCACGCCCTTCTATACGTTACGCGTCGTATACTCGTATGGCTGTCATGTATAGTGCTATGTCCTGGCTTTGCGGCGTCATTTTACAATACTATGATGGGTAGGTGACCCTATAATATTTCGTAACAATTTCTTTACTGCTATCTTGTGGTTAGAAATAGAAGTAGACATACAAATGGCAATGTAAACGTTGTGGGCCTAGAAAATACTGTAATGCAACCGAGCATACAAGGTTTCTTATCAGTAAAAATTGGTCACCTAGCTTTGGTCACCCAACTTCACACTCGTTCACAATGATGCTAAGTCCAAAAGTGTCAATCGTTATACAGAGCTGCGTGAAGGTGCTTGCAGTAGTCCTGAGTAGACACGTCTGAATACAGACCGTTTCGGGGTCCCTCTTATAGTCCGGTCCCCGCTCCCCTTGCCTAGTGATATCGTATCTTGACTCTTGATATCGTGATATCTTGATATCGTATCTTGGGCTCTTTCACACAGTCCGTTTCTTTAACGGCAACGGAAACGGATCGGATGAAAATAGAAAACGGAGTAGATAAGAAACATAGTTATTTATACTATCCGTTTTAACCAACGGACAAATAACCCGCCGGCCCGTTATCGGATGAATCGACGGATTGCCTCGATATATTTCCGTCGTCGGAACGTTTTTCAAACGGACCGTTTATCGAGACTACATTAATAGATATAACCTTTCACACTTTCCGTTTCGTATCCGATTATTTTTATCCGTTCCCCGTTATTTAGATTTTTTGGTAGTATTTGTAGTAATTAGTAGTCAATTTGTGTTCGTCGTCGTCGTGACTAGTGACATATTTTCTATTAACATTTTTTCTACAAAACTAAAAAAAATATGTCTGAATCTGTGAATTTAGAACTTCTGATCACTATGATCGAAGAACGGCCAGTAATTTGGGATAAAACTCTAGAAATGTACAAAGACAGAAACTTAACAAGGAGTGCATGGAAGGAAATATGTGTGGCATTTGTTGAGGATTTTGATGATAAATCAGACAAACAAAAAGATGATATAAGTAAGTCTTAATAAATATTAAAAACTTAAAAATATTTTTATATTCAAGACCAATAAGTACCATATATTTAGATTTTATAATTTTTTAATGAAAACAATTGTTAGGATCGTATTGTTTGTGTAACCGATATAAACTTAAATCAACTAATTGACTTATTTCATTATATTGAATTATTATATACTTGAATTTTGCCATGGCACTGATCCTGCATCACTTATGAAGTATTCAGCATACTTATTTCGAATTTCATTGGCATGTCGTCTTACTCGTACATAGTTTGCTTGATGAACAGCGTCTTCAAATCCCATTATAGGTAATTCATTGATTTCGTGTTCTACGTAATGAAGTCCGTCTTTTTCGCGAATTATATTATGTAGAATACAAGCAGCTTTGACAATATCAACAGCAAAATCTGTGGCAACATTCAATGGCCGATGCAATATACGCCATTTATTACTAAGTATACTCGTGCTCGGCTTAGCCGGTAATTGAAAACTTTTTTAGTTGTAGTTAAGTGATAGCCACCGAAAGGTCTTAGTAAATTTGTTGTAAGTGCAAATGCTTCATCACCCAAAAAAACATAAGGAAAATCTTGATCTTGTAATTCATTTATCGGTTCTGGATCCGGTATATGTAATTCGTTTTTCTCCATTAATTTCCACAGTAACGATTCTTTAAATATTGTAGAATCACATTCTTTTCCATAAGCTCCAATGTCTATGTACGTAAATCTATAATTTGAATCTGCTACAGCAAGCAGCACTATAGAAAAATAGTTTTTATAGTTGTAGTACATCGATCCACTTTTTTCTGGCATAATAAGCCTTATATGCTTTCCATCTATGGCACCTAAACAATGTGGAAAGTTGGCAGTTTTTTCGAACCCTTTTGCAATTGTTTTCCAATTCTCTTTTGACGGAGCAGGTATATATTTGTTTTTTAAAACGTCCCATATTTTGCAACAAACAGTTCGTATTATTTTACTTGCAGTAGAAATTCCAATTCTAAAAGTAAAATGGATTTCTGTCAATGTACAGCCACTTGCAAGATATCTAAAAAACAATATAAAAAAAGCGGTTAAGTGGATGTCGCTCTGCTGTATAGTCATTGTATACGAAAAACGATTCTGAGCGGAGGCGATTTGTCGGTCTAGGATATTTTATAAATTTATAACTAAAAATCAATTTGCAAATATTCGAGATTTCGATGAATCTGGTCAACATTTAAACTTTAAATGCCTATAAATAAAAAGTGTGCATACTTATATTAAATATTTTTTATGCGCATTTAAAAAAAACTTATGAAAAACCTTGTTTAAAATTTTCAATCCTTAGTTATAAAAAATAAACATTTTATACATATTTAACTACGAAATAATTTGCAAATGTTCAATAAAAATTTCCGTTTTTTCCTTAATTTTTTGTTGGTTTTTCTCGCTACGTTTAAAAAGTATTGAAATTGTTTTACTTTTGATCCCCCCAAAGTACCAACTAGATTCACTTTCCTATCAGAAAAGTTGCTGTGTATAATAATTAATAATAATGAAATATTTTTAGGGAAAATGTATCTCAATAAGTGGTCCAATATTAGGGACAATTGGGTTCGTTCATACAAACAATTTAAAAGAAATGAACGATCTGGATCTGGTGCAAATAAATCCAAAAAATATATATATCACGAACAGTTAAGGTTTTTAGAAAAAGTAGTCGACAAAAGACCTACAATTTCAAGCTTATCAAAAGATAATGATATCTTTGAAGAGGAAAATTACCGCAGTATAATTGACGAATTTTGTGATGCTGTAGAAAATGAAAATACGGCTGAAGAAACTGTTTCGATCAAATTCAATTCGAAATCTCCGATGTCTTCAAAAACCACATTACCAAAAAGAAAAAAACAGATGATTTTGAAGACAGAATCTTAAATATTATAGAAACTCAAGAAACACCACGTGAGCAAAATGTTATAAACCCACACATGTCTTTTTTTGAAAGCATTTTACCATCAATAAAACATTTTAATGAAGATGAGACATTTGATTTTCGTATTGGTGTAATGAACTTGATCAAATCTATTAAAAAGAGGAATGTTATTGGTCATTCTACACCAAATCCTCAACCTACAAATATTTATAACACTTCTTGAATATCACAAAATTATCAATCCTAATTACTTAATACAAATGTACACTCGATTCCAGCTTCGCCTACAGTTAATTTACAAAATTATATAAGATCATTTCAAAGTGCAGCCGCTTCCAGTGATTCAAATTTTATTTCGCCAGTACCTTCTGTATCTACATCTTATTCTGACTACAGTAAAACGACAACAGAATATAATAATAATAAATTTTTTTTTTAAAACATTTTAATTATTTTATAATGCATTTATATTAATGAGTTTATACCAAAAAGGTAATTTTTTTTATATTTTCAAACGTTATTACAAAGGTAAATTTATTTTATATTTTTAAATGTTATAGACAAAGGTAAATTTATTTTATATTTTTAAATGTTATAGACAAAGGTACATTTATTTTATATTTTTAAATGTTATAAACAAAGTTTATTTTATATTTTCAAACGTTATTACAAAGGTAAATTTATTTTATATTTTTAAATGTTATTGACAAAGGTACATTTATTTTATATTTTTAAATGTTATAAACAAAGGTACATTTTATTAGTTTTCGTAAATAAATATTCATAAAAGCATTAATATAGGTATTATAAATTATATCATTTTGAAATACCTACTTACCTTATAGCAATGGCCAACATTTCTTCGGATCCTATAGATTTCCTCATTTTTGTATCTTTACGAGATATTTCTTCTTTTAGAGTAACATGTAATTCATCAAATGTAGAAATTGACATCCGAAAAAAATTAAAGAATTTTTTTGGGTCAGACCTTAATTCATTACATAAAGTTTTGTAAACACCCAAATTTTCACGATTTTGTAATATTGGATGAACCCAGTACTTTCTTCTGTGAGGTCTTATTACTAGTTTGTGCCTTCGGTGAAGTAAGTATAAAATTAATAACTTTTTTGATTGCTTTTTTAACACCATGATTACAAAAACTTCACAATATTTGCACACAACGTACCGATTGGAACTGGATAATATCGAGTAGTAAATTATAATAAAAGTCAATGTTGCCGTTAAACGGACTGTGTGAAAATATTGTCCGTTTTCTATTTTTATCCGATCCGTTTCCGTTGCTGTTAAACAAACGGACTGTGTGAAAGAGCCCTAACGGATGTGGCCTATGTGGCCATCGACCTAACCCACGCACTTGCGAAATTACTAATCCATACTGCGTATTATTATGATGTACTGTCAGATAATTTGCGACTGTCAATTTCATTATAAATCATATTATTTTTATATTGCAATTCTCTCTTCTAACGCTATCAAATTTATCACATCCGCCTATTCGACATGACTGCAAAGTCATGCTAATCTACTGTGGTATTATTTTGAATATCGTTTCTCCTTGAGCTTTACATTTATTAATTGCGAATTTGTTTACGCGTTTGTTTTTGGCGTTATACTCCCTATGGTTCCTTTGATTAATTACAACCAAAAAAGGTTAACTAGTTTCTATTTGATATATCTGACCATTACCTATCTACAGTATATTATGTTAAATATGTTTCCTGACGAAATTTAAATGTTGCTTAGTAACTCGCTTACTACATCTCCCCCTTTAAAAGTTCATTTTTATCGTCTTAAACTAGAAAAAATAACTCAATTTAATTTCTATTACTTCAAGCACCTTCCTATAGCAAAATTTTACATACATTAATTATTACATTTTTATGTTTACATATGTTTGTTTACAATTACATGATTTGGATACATTATTGTTTACAAGAATTCACAATACAATATTATTATCAAAAATATAAAGTACAATATTATTATCAACAAAAAAAATATAAAGTACAATCCACGATATATTCTTTTGATATTATATGTGTTTACAATATTACTGTAAGTTATTAGTTATTACAATATAAATTTAATTATTATTTATGTTAGTATTCTCAATGTTTAACAATATATATATATTTTTTCAATCATAATCTTATCCTAGTGTTAGTTTATTGATATAATATGAATTCTTAATCCTATTACAATATATTCTTTTTCATGCAATATATATATTATATTAATACGTATTTTCCCAACACCATGTTAATAATTATAGTTCCTTTATTTATTACGTTTATCTTTTATTATTCTTATAAAATTTATTCTTAAATTTTCCTTTTTTTTTTTTTTATAATTTTTTTTTATAATATATATATTTCCCATAACTTCATCCTTATCTAATATATACTTCCTAATTATCATATGATTTTATCTATTTTACTACAGTTCCAGACCAGCAATAAACTATTCACTCAAAGTTTTATTTCTGATCCAGTCCAGCATTAAAATGATTTTACTCTACTGTAAACGCTGCATTTGTTTTGTATCTTGTTAATTGGAATCCCTAGCGTTCATTGTGCTATTTAATCAAAGTACCAATTTACGCTAATGACTAAATTAACAAGACTCTATCCATAATATTTTCTTATTGAGATTTTTTATTCATTCGATCCGTTGATGATCGTGTTCAAGAGTCCACTCTTATCATAACTTTTCAACCTACCACCAACAGATCAAATGCTTCCTTTCTTTTTTTTTTTTTTCTTAATTCTTTCTATTGAGTATTTCAATCCGTCCGGAATATGATAATATGCCAAAGATCGTCATTCAATATTATTAGATCATTACGCATCGTATCACATGTCGAACCGACTAAAATTTTTCCATTTTTGGTTTCGAATGTTTTTCTATCTTGTTCGGGATATAATATCATGCCATAATCACGACTTATTAATATTGATTACAAGACACAATATTATACTCCGACTCGATTTTAAATTCTATATTCCTACTTATCTGTAATTTATAGAATTTATCTTTATTACTATATTATCATTACATTGAAATGTTATGTACAATTATCCCTATTCATATATAGACGTTTAATTAATTTTTTTTTTTTTTACATTTATTTCAAGCTGTTGGTTAGTTTGCTGTTGAATAGCCCCAATTATCGGATCCATAGTATTATTATTAATTTATTACTTTAATATTACAAATAATATGTCCATCATGTCATAACATTTTAGATAAGTGTTTTAAGATTTGAACTTTAAATATATACACTCTGGTGTTAAATTATTTAATTTGCTATTCAAACTTTTATCCAGCTGCATCAGACATGCCGTCCTTGTCACCTCCTTACAGCTGAACACCCGCATGATCTCCCTTTTAGCCAACAGTAATTCATGAACTTTCATCTCTCTTACTCGTTCATGAAGTGGCAAGAGTAGCGGTCTCCCTTCTAGTTTTCTTATCTTACATTTGTCCAAACTGTTTGAAATGGCGCCAGATAGTAACACCATACTCGTTCTGTTTATTGGAGAGAACTCAAAATCCAATATGACGAACTTTATGTCCCTTTTTTTAATTAAATTAACATTATATTTTCCTTATTCTAAACCTAATTATGTTGTATTATTATTCTATCTTAGAATTATTATTAATTGTTTAACATGCTGCTTATTATATAATATATGTTAATTTATTATATTACAAATTATTTTATTGTGGGGGGTATATCCTCCCCTTCGACGAGGTTTCGTTCGTCTACTTCATTTACTTTTGGTTCTCTATTATCGCACTTTGTTCTAAATCTAGATTTGCTTATTTGCATCATTTCGTAATGCGGTTGTCTTAACGTCGTTAATCTACACTTATATGTTATATAAATAAATATTATTAATATTATCGAAAATAATATTAATCATAATGTCAAATATAACAAATAGTTACGAGTGTTGCCTACATTTTCTTGTCCTGCTTGTTTTATTATCTCGTTATCTATTTCGTTTTGTATAAAATCTAAAAAATGTGCTATTTCGTGAACTTTGTCCAAATTATGCGGATCTTTTTTAATTACCAATCTAGGTAAATTTATATCTTTTATTTTGCTAGGTATCGTAAATACTATATTTACCGATAATATCTTTGGTATAAAATTTACGTAATATTTTGATCTTATGTCCTGTGTAGGACTTAGTATTATATCATTTCCGTACGCCCTACAGTCCGAATTTATCGTAATTAAACCTTGGTTATCTATTCTCTGAATATACGGTTCGGCGATATTACGACACGTGATTGTCAACGTTTCGCCTTTTGTCGTATATATCCATGTATTTGCATATTTTAACTTAAAAAAAATATCTTTTGTTAGTACCAGTACGCCTGCTTCGCAAGTTTTTGGTAATACGTCCGGATTATTAAATAACGATATCTCGCATGGATTCCTACTACTAGAGTGCACTACGGGTGAAAACTCGGGACATAGGTATTGTGAATATTTCTGTCTCTTTACAACTCAAAAGTTGCGTTTCCGTAAAAGTTGTGTACTCCTCCCGATTTTTCGTAATTCCTACATATTGGAATTCTGGTTTAAGAATAATACTATGATTTCTATTCATTACCCCGTTTATACGTGTTTCCACCGGCTGTGGTATCGGAAGTATTTTATATAACGTAAGCTCCAATTCTGTTACCAGCGGTATCTTTATTAAGAAAACTATCTGGTTGTCTTTATAAAATACGGCCATTTTCGTAATCTTACTTAATTCGTATATCTCGTTCGGGTCAGTACCCATAGGTAAATTTAAGTTAATTGGTAATTTCAATTTAATTTGCGTCAAATGATCTGCCAGTTCACGCGGAGTCATTAGACTCGGGTGTAATACTCCTGACCTAGCTGCTTTTATTATCGCGCCAAGAGACATAGTCTCAAAAGAAAATTGTGATAATAATGACGTAAATATACCTTGTATTTTGTTCGACAAAACTAATGTTTCTAGAGTATTTGTTTTATTTATTAATTCTCCGATCGTCCCCTGTTTATTTACCAATTCCGTATATAACCTAGTGACTTCCCTAGACGTTGTACTTATACCTTTAATTGCAGATTTTACTACAGTTGTTTGGTCCTTAAGTATATGTAGCATACGTTCATTAGTTTTTTCTATTTTTCCTATCTCTTCCACCGATTCCTTTGCGCACTCTTCGTCGCAAACCCCAAATAGCGTATTCATTGCGGACCCTACAAAATTTATGAGCCCACGCCTTTTCCTACTATGATATGTGGTCGTTTCGCCAGAGTATTCTGCGTATCTACCTATTGATTCATACATTTTTTCACGTTGTAATGAAATTTCTTGAAACATTATTTTAAACATATCGTCTATCCCCGAGCACATTTCATATGCTGTCGCATTATTTTTACATATATTTGTCATTATATTTATTTCCGTTTTTAATTTATCGTGTCTACTGTCGTAATTTAACAACGGTAAATACGTGATTAACTGCCATGTAGCTCCTGTTAACCTTACCGTCCCGTAATTTTCGTAATACATCATTGTTTGGTTTCTAAATTCTTCCACTTTATACGGAAGTTGACTTTGACCTGCCGTTATTAAAAAAAACCTAAAATAATATATACATATATATTAGTTATGAATTTCACTTATATTTTTTTTTATACTTGTCTCTCGAATTTGGTCACTATGAATTAGGAACGCACTAATTGTTTAATAGTCATATCGACAGTGATGCCCGGTGGTCGCATGTTCTTATAGAATATTGTCGAGACACCCACCGTGTTTCACCATCAACCCCCCAAAAATTAACTAATGCATTCCATCACTCATTTTTCCATATTTACTCACTGTCACTAAATCCTTCTAACTCGTCCATATGACTAAACAAATTATTCGAATCTATATCAAGTCCCTCTAAATTATTATAATAACTATTTACTATATCTAATTCTTCCCTAACACTCAAAATACTATTAACCCAGTCACCATTAATGCTACTTCCACCAAGGTTATTATTACTAGTATTATTATTTTCATTGCTATTTATTCCAGTGTTGCTTAGAGCTGCTACCCTGTTCGTCTGTATTGCCCTAAAATTCGACC